AGATTATACGAATGGAAGCTTGGCGGAGCAAAAATAGAGCAAGTCCTAAAATTTCAATACCTAGGAGTTATTTTTCAATACAATTTGGGGTGGAAAGCACAAATTCAACACCTCCTTAACAAGGCCAAAACTCTGTCATATGCGCTCCTCCGATTTTTCTTTTCGGATGGAGCTTTGCATGTTCCCTCGGCCCTAAAGGTGTTCAAGGCAAAAGTGGTACCCGTGCTTACTTATGCTGCCCCGCTCTGGGCTGTGATGACAGACCTTGCTCCTCTTGAGACTCTGCAAAACCAATTCCTACGTCGGCTCCTAATGCTCCCCCTGTGCGTAAGCAACGCAGCCATGCGACTAGAATTGAAGATCGCATCCTTAGAAACTTGCCTGTGGAAGCAAGTCTTCAATTATTGGTTATCATTGTGGCATAGATTACCAGACCATTACCTTGTCCAATGCTTATGGCGAGATGAATTTTCCAGCCTTTGGACTAGTAGAATTCATGCCAAACTCCTGAGCTATGGAATCTCTCCCTTAGATTCCCTAAAACTAGATCAAATCACTGCTCAAAGACTGATCCGCCAAAGACTGGATGACATCGATTTACAGCGAAATTATATGCTGGGGGGAGGTGTTTGTTCGCCCCAGAACATTGGTATCACTTTAACTTACCGCGTTCCATCATACCTCTCCTCCCTTTCGACTGTTGCCCATAGGCTGGCCTTCACCAAAGCGAGGTTTAACGTTTTTCCCTCCAATGTCCTGAGACATAGATTCTCAAAGGGCCAAGCCTCCGCCATGTGCGAATGTGATAAGGAGACGCCAGAGTCGCTTCAGCACATTATATTCACTTGCCCCTTATTCAAGGTGCCACGGGCAAATTTGTTGGGATCAATCATTCAGAAACTAGAGGGTACCCCACCAAAATTCCACCTTGCCCAAATCTTGCAGGATAAGGATACCCATACGACCCTGAAAGTGGCTAGGTTCCTGGTCGCTGTCCTTACCCAAAAGCGTTGCCAAGGAGCACCACAAGCTAATCAAGGCGTAGTATGCCATTCCATCTTATAGTATTTTATTGTTATAGTAGTGTTTTAGCGGCTGTTTTTTCCCACGTGCACACGCTGTTATTTATGTCTTGTTTTTATCTGTATGGGCCTATGGCCGTAATAAATTATTATTATTATTATTATTATTATTATTATTATTATTATTATTATACTGCCCTATACCTTAGGGTCTCAGGGCAGTTCACAGAATAAAATGAAGATATAAAACCACAAAACGCATAATAAAAACAAAAACATCAACCTAATACCCCCCCAAGGGATGCGGGTGGCGCTGTGGGTAAAAGCCTCAGCGCCTAGGACTTGCCGATCGCATGGTCGGCGGTTCGAATCCCCGCGGCGGGGTGCGCTCCCGTCGTTCGGTCCCAGCGCCTGCCAACCTAGCAGTTCGAAAGCACCCCCGGGTGCAAGTAGATAAATAGGGACCGCTTACTAGCGGGAAGGTAAACGGAGTTTCCGTGTGCTGCACTGGCTCGCCAGAGCAGCGATGTCACGCTGGCCACGTGACCCGGAAGTGTCTGCGGACAGCGCTGGCTCCCGGCCTATAGAGTGAGATGAGCGCACAACCCTAGAGTCTGGCAAGACTGGCCCGTATGGGCAGGGGTACCTTTACCTTTACCTTAATACCCCCCCCCAAAAAAACACATATTAAAAGGGCATAGGATGTATAGGCATGGGCTGAAAAGTGGGACAGAAATTGATCTTCTACTCCTCCAAAAAAAACCTAATAACTACCAGCAGGTTGCTGAAAGTCTAGAGGGTGAAACCCAGAGTTTTGTAGGGAAACGGTGATTACTGAATGACCGAGTGACTTAATAAAAGGCATGTGTGGAGCTGAAGCCTCCTAGATTTTGTGCTTTGTGTAGATACACAGTTTGTTGTCCTGGGGTGAGAACACTTTCGGGATTATTTTCCAAGAATCTTCCCCAGTTTGATGCCTTTCAGATGTTTTGGACCATCATCCCAGACAGCATGGCTGGTTTAGGGGTAAAGAGATCCCTGTGAGACAAGGTGCCCTGTCAAGGTTCTGTTGACCATCTGTCATTCTCAGGATGAAGGCCGGGCTTTAGCTGCTCTGCAAAAAGTGCTCCAAATGCAGCCCTTTGCTTTTGCCCACTGAAGTGAATGGCAGCCCTTATGTTATGTGGCAGAAAGAAAAGGGGTGCGTTCAGGGTGATGCCTTAACCCCGTCTTTGCTCCTAAAGGTAAAGGTACCCCTGCCCGTACGGGCCAGTCTTGCCAGACTCTAGGGTTGTGTGCCCATCTCACTCAAGAGGCCGGGGGCCAGCGCTGTCCGGAGACACTTCCAGGTCACGTGGCCAGCATGACAAGCTGCATCTGGTGAGCCAGAGCCGCACACGGAAACGCTATTTACCTTCCCACTGGTAAGCGGTCCCTATTTATCTACTTGCACCCGGGGGTGCTTTCGAACTGCTAGGTTGGCAGGCGCTGGGACCGAGCAGCAGGAGCACACCCCGCAGCAGGGATTCGAACCGCCGACCATGCGATCGGCAAGTCCTAGGTGCTGAGGTTTTACCCACAGCGCCACCCGCGTCCCATACGTATTTGCTCCTGCTGACCCCCAAATACTGAAAACACAACTGTCCCTCCAACTGCATTGCCAAACCTGTGTACAGTGGGACCTTGGTTGCTGAACTTAATCCATTCTGGGAGTCCGTTCGACTCCCAGAACCATTCGAAAACCAAGGTGCGGCTTTTGATTGGCTGAAGGAGCTTCCTGCACTCAGTCATAAGCCATGGAAGCCACGTTGGAAGTTCGGCTTCCAAAAAACGTTTGCAAACCGGAACACTTACTTCTGGGTTTGCAGCATTCAGGAGCCAATTTGTTCGGGAGCCAAGCTGTTCGACAACCAAGGTACCACTGTATTTGCAATGGTATTGACCCATTGTGTTTCCTGGGTCATGGCAGGTTGCAAAAGAACATTGGGTTAGCATGATGGCTTTATGTATACAGTGAAAACAGAAAAGCACAGAAGAGTCTTAAAACAGAACCCAAAGTTTTGTGCAGCAGTAATTTTAATATTTGTAGAATGCCATTTTTGTGAGGCGATAAATGCAAACTTACAGTTAGGCAGGAGCATTCTTTGGGGTGCACATAAGATGTGGTCGAGAATCTCTTGGCCAATAGTGGGACAGGTTCTAGAAGTCTGGATTGCCCCATCAAGAGATGGATTAAAAGTATTGCACTAATATAGCTTTACTCAGTAGAATAGTTGCATTAGGGGAAAAAACATCAGCAGATAATTTGACTAGTAGTGAAGTAGGTTCTCTGGAGATGTATGACTAATAATAGCCTTTTAAAGGAAGACCAACTGGGCTAAAGCCTGACTCACAGATTCACGTTTATCACTTGAGTACTGTACACTTGGTGACTGTGTGATCATCAGCTACGCTTCAAAAGCAATAAAATGTGAAAGTTCTGTGTGTCATATTAGATCTGTCATGGCTCCACTGAAACATGAAAGTTTGGATGGGGAAGTCACCAAGCGATAAATATGCATGTGTGAATCAGTCCTTCGTTATCCCTTAACCACAAAGAGCCCAGTTGTAGCCTGGGCAGAATGTGAAGCCATTTTATCTAGCTCTCAGCAGTCCTAACAAATTTGAATCAAGGCATTTTATTTGTATTTGGCAGTGGGGTTGAGCTCAAAAGTGGTTCTACGCTTAAACCTCTCTTTGGTGTTTGAATGCAATAGCCCAGGAATCTCCAAAAGTGGAGTAGGCTTGGCAACATTTGATCTAGCTACTGTAAAGGTAAAGGGACCCCTGACCATTAGATCCAGTCGTGACCGACTCTGGGGTTGCAGCGCTCATCTCGCTTTATTGGCCGAGGGAGCCGGCGTACAGCTTCCGGGTCATGTGGCCAGCATGACTAAGCCGCTTCTGGCAAACCAGAGCAGCGCACGGAAACGCCGTTTACCTTCCCGTTGGAGCGGTACCTATTTATCTACTTGCACATGCTTTCAAACTGCTAGGTTGGCAGGAGCAGGGACTGAGCAACGGGAGCTCACCGCATCGCGGGGATTCGAACCGCCGATCTTCTGATCGGCAAGTCCTAAGTTCTGTGGTTTAACACACAGCACCACCCATGTCCCTTAGCTACTGTAGCTGTGCCTTTAATAGTAGCTTGCAGATATTAACAGGGAATGATTTCCTCCAAACTGTGAAAAGTATCAGCTGCTAATTTTTGTGGGCCATTCTCCTGTTAAAGGCAGAATAAGCACACCAGCCTTTTTTTTGTTCTTGTTGTTCCTCGTCCACTGCCAACATTAGTGTAAAACTCACTGTTAGGTGGCAATGACTTTATTTTAGATGAGCCTAAGAAAAGGAGGCGGATGGAAGAACGGAAGCCCTTTTTGGACTATTTAAAGAAATATTATAATGTGATGGATTTGTGAGCAGGATTTGAACTATGAACACCAGAAATGATTAGAGACTATTGTATTATGGCTATGATATAGAAGAATGAAGATAAGTTGGGGCAATAAGTATAAAAAAAATGGGATGGGAAGTTGATAGAACAGAAGAAAAATTATTATGTATGGAAATTTTATGTGAAATTTGTGGAAATTCAATAAAACATATTATAAAAGAAAAAAGAAATGGAGGAGGAGAAGATGTCAGATTCAGGCTCCTGGACCATCCTTTGGAGAATGGAGCTGATCCTGAATATAGTGCCCATGACTATCCTTTGTGACAGCCACTCCTGCCTGACATATTTGGATCCACTGACAACTTCTGCAGCTGCCTTATTAACTACAAGAAACTAGCATTCTTCCTAGCACAAGGATGTAATCAAAGGCATCCTGTGCTCCTTTGGGGATAGTGACACAGGAATATAATACGTTGTTTCTATCTGTCCATTACTAAAGCAAGTAGTACATAAATCTTTTAGCGATTATAACATCGACACGGTTGGAAACAAGCTATCATTTATTTGATTGTTATATCAACCAGCTAAACCTTAGATTGATTAATGAAGAGGATTTGCTAAACCGTGAGTTAATGTCCTACTTATTCATTCCTGGGAGGGAGCTATGAAACAATACATTGGAGGCAACAGTTCTTTACAAAATGGCGGGAGCTTCCATTGAATTGCAACGGATGCTTACATTCCAATATGTTAATCTGACCCTTGCATTGAGACCCAATCCTTCCCCACTATGCCCTTGATCCAGTCCAGGTAGTTCATGACTTTGGTGTAAAAGCCATAGCCGTTGCCACAATTGATGCCCCAAGAAACAATCCCTGAGACCACCCAGCGCCCAGTCTGCGGGTCGCGCACAGCAAAAGCCCCCCCACTGTCTCCCTGGCAGGTATCTTTTGTTTCGTGAGGGGAACCTGCACAAAACATGTTCTCTGTGAAGACCGGGTCCCGGCCGTCAATCTTCTGCCCTTTCAGCCACTGCTGACAAGATGAACGCCTTGCTACTGGAATCGGTACGTATTTTAGCTTGTGAGCAAGGATGTTCTTCTCTACTCCGAAGCCACTGGCATAACCCATCCATCCTTGAGCGTAGAAGGTGCTGTTCCCTGGATCCGGGAGACAGATTGGCAGCATGTCAGGCCCAAGTGTCACTGGGTCCTCCAGCTCCAGAAGGGCAATGTCCCCATCAAAGTTCTCCGGAAGGCCCTGGTTGTACGTTGGGTGGATGTAAACCTTGCGGACGGGGCGATTGCCCAGCTTTACGATTTCCTCCACATCCGTGTGTCCCAAGAAGACTTGAGTCTTCTTAATCACCTCAGAGAGCTCAGGGCTCTGAGCCATCCGAGATGCACTGCTCAGCTTGGGGTACAAATTGTGCGCTGCGGTCAAGATCCAGCGGTCACCCAGCAATGCCCCGCCTCCACGTCCGGTGACGAATGTTTTCGCTTGCCATGGGAAGCTGCCATTTGGTGCCTCTTGGCCATCAATAATCCGTTGGATTATTTTGATGGGATTGTCCGGTCTTCCACAGACTGCAAGAGAGACAATATGGTCAAGAAAGGCGACAGCCTCCTGCCTTTTCCCATTTCCCACGTGACATTTCCTTATTTTGAATGCTTCCATTCGCTCTTAACAGAACATGTCAGACCTTTCCCACGTAATCAGCTTTCCCCCACCAGAATTGCTCTTATTATTAACACACTTAGCCCAGTATCTGGACATTCAGGACAGATAAGAAAACATACTCTTCTTAAACAGGGCATTGTTAAACTGTGTCATTCACCACCATAAGCTGGGTGGCTTTATCCAGTGCTTTTTTCCTGGGAGGGACTCATGGGTACACACACCCCTAAACATTTTGTGACTCTAATGGGAGAAGAAACTAAAATTTTAAAAATTTTAAGTTTCTTCTCTAGCATGGTGAATCGTCAGTTCCGTTGCTAACCCCAATGGCGGCCTCATTTCCTGTCACGGTGTTTCCTGAGTCTCAGATGGAAGCGAGCGTTTAATGTGTGAAGCAGTGTGGAATGTGGATGTGTGGAATCGGGAAGATGTTAGTGCACACAACCTCATGCCAATGTGGAAGTTACTGTGAGCTGTCAGCTGTGTAATATGAGGTACTGCGTGTTCTTTGTACTTTTGTCCATTTACTGTATTTATTTCCCCCGATTTGAACTATAAAATGGTGATTTTCTTGAGTCAAAATGAGAGTGCCCTTAAACATTTTTTAAAAGAAAAAAAAGCACGGGCTTTATCACAGAATTGTAGAGGATAAGGCTATAAATGGCTACTTTTCATGATGGGTAAACTCTAGCACCAGGACTAGAGGCAGAATAACACCAAATACTAGTCAATGGTTCATTGATCCTTCTCGCCTCTTCAACGGTGTCCCTCAGCTTTAGCTTCGACTTCTCACCTGAGCTGCAGGCTCCACCCTTACTCACTGCCTCTGCTTTCGGCAGCCTGTTCACCTGAAGGAACCTAACCTTCAGGACACTAAGGAACGGAGTGCCTGACACAAAAATCTGTTTCTTCCCCCCTCCCTGCTCCAACAAAATAAATTGTCCATCCCTAGCAAGGATCCCTTTTAACCAGGAATTTCTTGAACCTCAGAACCTTAGGGCAGAAAGAACGTGCTCCACCATCAGGCTGTTGTCTCTCTGTTTTTGATCCCATCTTTTCTCCCTCCTCTCCCTTAACCTCATGTTCTATCTTGCTCTTTTCTGCAGTGTTTGCCTGGTTTGTCTTTTTTAGACAACATGAGGAGGAGGATGGAAGAGTGCCGATTACCTGGCAGGCACACAGGGATGTCCTCGTGGTCATCTTGGTCCATCCAAGACCCCTTAGCAGAGCAGGTATATATATCTGAGGAAGGAAACCAGAATAATGAGAGCACAGTCTGAATAAACTTTGCCTGCTTAAACACCTTGGTTTTTCGACTCTGTAAGGGCACAGGCTGGGATGGAAGGAGCCATTCTTGGAAGGAACAGTTCTCTCAGTTTCTCATTTTTTCCAATCACAAATTCAGTTCTCTCTCCACATACCTGCAACAACTTAATAATAATAATAATAATAATTTATTATTTATACCCCGCCCATCTGGCTGGGCCTCCCCAGCCACTCTGGGCGGCTTCCATAAAAACCACAAATACAGTAAAATATCACACGTTAAAAACTTCCCTGAACAGGGCTGCTGCCTTAAGATGTCTTCTGAATGTCAGGTAGTTGTTTATCGCTTTGACATCTGCTGGAAGGGCGTTCCACAGGGCGGGCGCCACTACCGAGAAGGCCCTCTGCCTGGTTCCCTGTAGCTTTGCTTCTCGCAATGAGGGAACCGCCAGAAGGCCCTCGGCGCTGGACCTCAGCGTCCGGGCAGAATGATGGGGGTGGAGACGCTCCTTCAGGTATACTGGACCGAGGCCGTTTAGGGCTTTAAAGGTCAGCACCAACACTTTGAATTGTGCTCGGAAACGTACTGGGAGCCAATGTAGGTCTTTCAGGACTGGTGTTATATGGTCTCGGCGGCTGCCCCCAGTCACCAGTCTAGCTGCCGCATTCTGGATTAGTTGTAGTTTCCAAGTCACCTTCAAAGGTAGTCCCATGTAGAGCGCATTGCAGTAGTCCAAGCGGGAGATAGCCAGAGCATGCATCACTCTGGCGAGACAGTCCGCAGGCAGATAGGGTCTCAGCCTTCATACCAGATGGAGCTGGTAAACAGCTGCCCTGGACACAGATTTGACCTGTGCCTCCATGGACAGCTGTGAGTCCAAAATGACTCCCAGGCTGCGCACCTGGTCCTTCAGGGGCACAGTTGCCCCATTCAGGACCAGGGAATCCTCCACGCCTGCCCGCGTCCTGTCCCCCCAAAACAGTACTTCTGTCTTGTCAGGATTCAACCTCAATCTGTTAGCCGCCATCCAACCTCCAACCGCCTCCAGGCACTCACACAGAACTTGGGATTATTATTTTTCAGCTCCGAAAGACAAGACCCAGCAATTGTACTCCTTCTCTTGTCTTAAGAATAGCATTAACCACCCCCACCCCACCCCAGAATTGACCCATTTATGCTTTTGCAGCTTCTGCCACACAGTACCATACTTTCCCATGTATAAGACGCCCCCATGTATAAGATGCCCCCTATTTTGGGGGACTCAAATTTAAGAAAATTGGGGGTGGGCACCGAGTTGTTGAGTTTTTTTGTGGAGGATTGCCCAGAGGGAGGGATTTTTTAAGGAGGGATTGCCGAAAATCGCTCACCCACACACGTCACAAAATCTGCCTCCCTTCTGTCCCATCGCCAGCAGAACCTGCCAATCACCTGCACAAATGCCCGAGCATCAGCCAATCAACATCACCCATTGACGCAGCAACCAATAACACGCACAATAGCTGCTGACAGCTGCGGCAGGAACCAATCAAACGTCCGCCCTATGCACTACCCATGTATAAGATGACCCCCACTTTTTAGCATGATTTTTAAATAAAAAAAATAGTCTTGTACATGGAAAAGTACAGTAAGTACAGTAATGTCAGAGCTACACCCTGTGCTGCTGCCCTAGTGTGATCATGCAGCCTTTGTGAGGCAATTCTTTTCCATGGGTGGATGCCACAAAAGTGGAATCTGTTAGTAAAAGAGCTGTGAACATGGCCGAGAGGCCCCTCGTGGAATGGAGGGGAATTCCTGCATCCGCACTTCACCTTTAAAGCACATTCAAAGCACATTCTTTCCCGGGAACCGTAGCTTTACCTGTCACAGGGATACAATTTTCAGCAATGCTTAACAGACTATACGGTGTGGACAGAATGCAAAAAGGAACGGGACCGAGAGGGGCACAGTTTGTGCTCAGCAGGACTCACCTCCTCCATTACTGAAAAGGCGGTAATAGCGTTCTTTGCAGCTGTACCTGACAACTGACAGGTAGTCGTTATTGTTTGGCTGGGACTCATAGGTGAAGTCCCCGTTGGTCAGGCTTTTCGGTTCGCCGCAGTTCACAACTATGAGGCAAATTCGACAAATAAATGAAGGATTTCTTTCAGGAATCCTTTCAAAGTCCAGCTGGGTCACAATCATTCAGTGGTGATTTCCTGCTACAAGTTGCCTACTAAAAATAAAATAAAATCACACCCCTCAAGATGGCTTCCCACCCAGGGGAAATGATTACAGACCCCCCCCCCCTATTTTCCAGGGACAGTCCTGGATTTACAGACACCATCCCAGTTTCTAATTTGATCCCAGAATGTCCCGCTTTCCTTAGGAACAAGAGTCTCCTAACAATTATCAGCATCCTTCACAAAACCTTCCCTCTGGGGGAAGAAGCCATGACTGCTTAAAGAGGTCCTTTCAACGCTGAGTGCAGAAGGGGCCTAGACCTTGGGAACAGGCCTAGCCCTAGATGTTTTGGCATTTGAAGGCTGGCCCCCCCATCCCTCTAGCAACTAAATGACCTTAAAATGAATGAATAAAATCACTGCCAACTTGCCAACCTTTAATAGTACTTCAAATCTGTGGCTAGCTACTCACTTTCACATCGGGGCATCGGGCGGTGCCACGTCCCATCCTTTTGGCAGACAGCGGTGAAGGATTTCAGTGCTTTGTCGCCCTGCTCAAAAACAAAAAGGGAGTCGAGGGTTGGGCAAGTCCCTGCACACAGCTATGCCCCTTACCTTTGTCTCAGGCAGTGCCGAAATTAGCCAGGTGCATTTTGCACCTGGCTACTGGCCACTTGCGATGCCTGGGGAGCATGGGATTAGGACTGATTTCACACACAAATATCACATCCTGTAGAAATCGACCAGCTATATTTTATCTGCACAATCAGAATGAATTTCAGGAACCAAAATGCTTTTTCTGTGCAGCCTGAGCAGGAGCAGTGGACGACATAGCTGTCAACTGACAGATTTGAAAATAAGGGACCAGCAGCCTTGAAAATAAGGGACCTGCAGCCAAAATAAGGGACCAGCAGCCAAAATAAGGGACCTGCAGCCTCACCTGTTCCAGGCACTCCAGTCTTCCTGTCCTCCTGCAGTCTGGTCAAACTCATGCTGGTAGCTTCGAGAACACTGTCCAGCCAACTTTGTAACCAGAGGTTCAACTGAATAGAATCTGAATCACATGCACCACAAGGCCTATGCAGCCTCAACTTAAGATGGGTCCCCGGCCTGGCTTTGCACTGCAAAGTTTGCAGCAGCACGTGCAACAAAATGGCGTCCAGCATTCAAAAAAACCCTCAGCTTGCATTAACTAGCCACACACAAGGCATGCAAGCTCCACCCCCGCAGTCGTTCTTAGACTTCTTATTGGGGGAGCAACACAGCCAAGCAACACAGTTGGAGCCTCCCTCCTCCCTGGCCAGCAGGGAGGGAGGAAGAGGAGCTGCTTCCTTTGAAATTTAAGGGACATCATTTAAGGGACATCCATCAATAAGGGACAGCAGCAGGACATGGCACTGGAATAAGGGACTGTTCCTTCAAATAAGGGACACTTGACAGCTATGGTGGACGACGTCATAGCTAATTGTTGTTGCTTGACTTCACTTTGTCTCCACCCCCTGCCCTGCTCATAGTTGGGAAGACTATCCCTACATTTATGAATGGTCCATGTCACCATTAAGAAAAAGCAGTTGGAATAGGCCAATAGATATGTGGACTGTCCCTGGATCAAGTGACATTTCTTCTTTACATTCTCAAAGCTCTTAACCTAGCTCAAGGTTGCCATCTGAACTAACCAGATAACTCAATCACAGTCAGTCCATCATTTGAAACATAAGAGTTAAGAGCCGTCTTGCCCCAAAATGGCAACTATACATTCAGTTTTGGATTAAGGAGCCATTTGGTGCCTAGCTCCTGTCCCCAATCTTCTTGTAGCATTACTACTAAACAAAAACCAATTATTTGTACACTTGTTGTTAGTCAAAAGGTTGAAAAGCTATTGAAAAGCAGTGTTTTTTGTTTTGTTTTTAATAGAAAAGACTTGTAACCGCTACACAACCCACCCACCGCAGTGGACTTTTCAGTGTTCTAGCCCCCGGTATACCTCCATTTTCAGAGAAGTCTGGGAAGGCATAAAAACAGCCTAGGAGGTGAACAAAGTGTCCCTGCGCCACAGAGAGCTCCCTCACAACAGACATAGCTCCAGGAAGGCAAGCAGACAAGCTACAGTTGACAAGAATCTTTCTTATTTTTTTGTTTTGTTTTGTTTTGTTTTGTTTTGCCTTTCTCCTGGCACTTTGCAGCACTCATGAAAACTGATAAAATGAGCAATGTGTTCTAGCTCAGGCTCCTACATATAGTGCTCCTTTGGTCTGGTCAACCTTAGCTGGAGTCCAAAATGACAGGAACAGTTTTGCTGCGCCCCACCTGGGATGGCTTCATGACCCACCTGTTGGATCCTGGCCAGTGGGTGGGAGACGTATATCTTAAGATAGCAAATACTGTTTTAAAAATCTGTTAATTTATTCAAAATTCTACCTCAGATTTAGCATCATTGAGTGGCAGTTTTTCTTATTTTCATTGTGGATATATATTCCGATGCTCAACTCTGCACAAAAGCCACACCCTCTGCCTTGAATACCCTGCTACCTAGATATCAAGTGTGGAGGGTGCTGGAGGCTTAGCATGTTTTGGGAAATCCCCTTGGACATGCTTAAAGGAACTCACCATTGCTACTTCAAACCAGCCTTTCCCAACATCTCCCATCATCTCTGCTTTGAGACCAAAACATCTGGAGGGCACCAGGTTGGGGAAATGCGGTTTTAGATCCTGGCAGAGCTGAGTCATAACTACCAAAACAAATTCTGGGGCTGAACACTGTATCAATTTCAGGCCTGCTTGTTTGTTATGCTCTACTTTCGATTTCCCCACTTATTCATGACGCTGGCCAGAAATTATGCAATCGTCACATCTCTTTCTGCCTTAATCAGATCCACAAGCGCAGATGCCTTTGGGAGATAAATATTTGTTAAATCAGATGTTTCTCTTGCCCTGACATATTCCTTAAACGGTTCCTAGGATAAAAGCTGGGAGATGTAAAAGGAAAGAGAAGCGTTTAGGAATGGAGGAATACACACACACACACACACACACACACACAGCCTGAGGGATCATGAGGTCATCAGAGGAGGGAAAGGCTTAGAAGGCAGAGAGATAAAGTAATGGAGAATAATAATAATAATAGTAATAATAATAATAATAATAATAATAATAATAATAATAATAATAAATTGTATTTATATCCCGCCCTCCCCAGCCGAAGCCGGGCTCAGAGCTGCTAACAACAATAAAATAATACAACACTCAATGTACACATTATACCTTTAAAACACATCCAAAGCACATTCTTTCCTTCTCTAAAGGTATTGAGGTGTTTAATAAGCATTTACGCTAATGTAATTGAGATTCATGTGTGTAAACCTACTTCTGAGCATCAGCAATTAGCATGTGATGAGTTAATTTAACCTGGGCAAAGGTCCAAAGTGTGTACCAGCCTTTAATCCTACGTGTTGATGAAGTCACACAAGGAATCATGCTTGTATGTGCCCTGGAGACCAAGACAGGTTGCAGAACCATAAAGGAGGCTGGTCATGCTGCCGTAAAGATAAGCTGGCACCTTTAGGGGTGCTCCTGCTGTGCGCCCCTTCATTGCAGGGGATTGGACTAGCTGGTCTCTTCCAACTGCAGTTCCGTGTTTCTATGACTGAAGACTAAAGGTTGTATATAAGTGTATAATAAGCCACATATTATTAAGACACTAGCCTCCATTTTTGCAGTGCCGGATTGCCAAATACACAGAGGAGGCCTTTTAGGGTCTTCGCAACAATGGATCAAAATAATATTGATTTAGCTTATTAAAATTGTTGGTTGGTAAAATAAAAAAACGTATTAGGAGATCATTTGCAAAGGGGCTCCCAAGATTTTGACTGCCTAGGGGTCTCTAAAGGGTTTAATCCTGCACTGCCATTGTGCCTAATTTCCCCATAAGAACACAGACACCAATGGAGGCCAAGACCCCCTGAAATCTTGTGCACTGCTAGGCAGAGATTGGTGTGGCTTGCAACACTGGTGTCAGAAGTGGAGTCTCTTCCTTGCCCTGCTCAAAAAGTTCTGGGCGCTGCTATTTATTAAGGCTTGCTGGGAATTGTAACTCTATGAGGGGCAAACTGGGGTGCCGATAATTCTTTGAGGGGGGAAATGTGCTTCAAATGTGCTTCAATGTGTCCGCAGCCCTAGATAAATGAGTCCCACCTCCTTCAGCCGATATCCAGTCCTGCAGCTGGCAATAAAGTAGTCCTGGTATTGATACAATGGCTGTAGGTCTTGAATGATGGTGAACTCGTCATTTGGAACGGGCTGTGGGCAAGGGACTCCTGTTGGAGATAAGAGAGGGATGAAGGAAGCGGTGGCAGATGGCCGAGTACCATTTATCTCCGTCTGCTGGATGGGGATACTTTACTTTCTGTGCTGTACCGGATCTTCCACCCGCGGCTGTATCCTGAATCATCCGTGTGGAAAAGTACGTCCACCAAAGAGCCATTGGTTTCGATGCTTCCTGGAGATGTTGTGCCACAGAACTCGCCAACCTCTTCCCCACCAACTTGGATCTGGGGAGAAGCAGAGAGTTTGGGAGCAAAGGGTTTGCTGTCTGTATGAGTGTAAACGCTATTCAGCACTACACTTACTACTACTACTACTAATAATAATAATTTATTTGTACCCCACCTGTCTGGCTGAGTTTGCCCAGCCACTCTGGGTGGCTCCCAACAGAATACTACTACTACTACTACTAATAATAATAATAATAAAGCGATAAAACATCAAACATAAAAAACTTCCCTAAAGAGGGCTGCCTTCAGATGTCTTCTAAATGTAAGATAGTTGTTTATTCCTTTGACATCTGATGGGAGGGTGCCACTACCAAAAAGGCCCTCTGCCTGGTTCCCTGTAGCTTCACTTCTCGCAGTGAGGGAACTGCCAGGAGGCCCTCGCCACTGGACCTCAGTGTCCGGGCTGAACGATGGTATTTGCGAATATATTAGCTATTTCAAAAACACTCTAATGATTTCTCTTTCTAAAAAAAGTGCAGCCAAGGGAGAAGGTGGCAGTGAACATACAGAACAATATTCTTGATATATTAAAAAATGGCTTTCAAGAAAATAGCATGACTTCTTTATTCCACATGCTGAGAACTAGATACTTCAAAGACAGATTGCAGACATTTGTACATTTTGGAGCATCCCTAGAATCATAGAATCATAGAGTTGGAATAGACCACAAGGGCCATCGAGTCCAACCCCCTGCCAAGCAGGAAACACCATCAGAGCACTCCTGACATATGGTTGTCAAGCCTCTGCTTAAAGACCTCCAAAGAAGGAGACTCCACCACACTCCTTGGCAGCAAATTCCACTGTCGAACAGCTCTTACTGTCAGGAAGTTCTTCCTAATGTTTAGGTGGAATCTTCTTTCTTGTAGTTTGGATCCATTGCTCCGTGTCCGCTTCTCTGGAGCAGCAGAAAACAACCTTTCTCCCTCCTCTATATGACATCCTTTTATATATTTGAACATGGCTATCATATCACCCCTTAACCTCCTCTTCTCCAGGCTAAACATCCCCCTTTCCTCATTTATAATACCTTGAGCTGGTCATAAGGACAGCGGACTTGCTGGTGATCATCAATTTCGAAAGGCTCCAGGAATTTGAGTGTGATGATCAGGCCTGCCTCCACTCGTATGCTGTAGTTGCAGCGCAAATCAGCTGGGTAGGGCTGAGGATAACCAGGGCTTGACAAGTACCCAGATTGCTCCGTGAACAGTTCGTTGCTGCAATTCACTGCAGGGCAAGGAAGCAAAATAAGGTTTGCTGAAAGCCAGGGACCCCTATAGCAGTGTTTCCCAACCTTGGGCCTCCAGCTGTTTTTGGACTACAATTCCCATCATCCCTTGCCACTGGTCTTGCTAGTCAGGGATGATGGGAGTTGTAGTTCAACAACAGCTGGAGGCCCAAGGTTGGGAAACACTGCCCTATAGCATCCTTTCCTTGTAGGTGGTCCATTCTTCTCTCTTTCACCACACTATTCAACTGGAAGAATGATCGGTCCCTGTTCTGCAGCCACAATTTCTAACACAGACTAAGCCGCTTCTGGCAAACCAGAGCAGTGCATGGAAATGCCGTTTACCTTCTCGCCGGAGCGGTACCTATTTATCTACTTGCACCTTGATGTGCTTTCGAACTGCTAGGTTGGCAGGAGCAGGGACCGAGCAATGGGAGCTCACCCCATCGCGGGGATAAGCCCAAGAGGCTCTGTGGTTTAACCCACAGCGCCACCCGTGTCCCTTAACACAGATTATAGACCTAACCTATATCAACACGGATTGAAAGTGCAGGAAAAGCTCCCCTTTTGTTGCTCCGATGACCCATACTGTGAATGCAACAGATTAAATGGGATTGTGAAGGTAGCTAATCCATACTCAGTTTTATCTTCAGTATGGCGCACATGGCTAAAACAGGAATAATGAGCATTTGTACAGCATTTGCCATGTTCAAAATACTTCACATGCTATGATTACAGTAATCTTTACATCCACACTGTAGCAAAAACCACTACCATTTTCTATGCATTGCAGGTGTGAGACTGAGGCCAAGAGAGAGTGGCTTACTTAAGAAATTAATAATAATAATAATAATAACAACAACAATAATAATTATAATAATAATAATAATAATATAATAATAATAATAATAATAATAATAATAATAATAATAATAATAATGTCCCGCCCATTTTGCTGGGTTTCCCCAGCCACTCTGGGCAGTTTCCAGCACATATAAACACGTAATAAAACATTCCCAATACAGGCAAGTTTTTAATGTTCAACATTTTCTTCTGTTTTTATGTGATTAGTCTCGGACGGCTGACATCTTGGACCACAGCTTTCCATAAGCACTATAATGCAGCAGCCCTCCGTATTCTCACCCATTAGATTTCTGCAATATACACACTATAACTTTACAGCGTGCATTCGAAGCACACTGTTTCCTTCAAAGACTTCTGGGCACTGTTGGTTAAAGGTTGCTGGGAAGTGTGACACTGTGAGGCCTCAGCGACAGTGCCCAGAATCCTTTGCAAAGGGAAATGTGCTTCAAATGTGCTTCAGAGGTATAGTGTGCATACAGCCTGGCTCGTCCTCTTACCTTTACAGGAATGTTGGTCGCTCTGGAGACGGTAGCCGGGCTGACAAGAGCAGAAGTAGCCCCCTATGTAGTTGTGGCAGAAGTGCTGGCACCGAGGTGCGCCATCTTCGACGTCGTTTTCAAGGGCGCACTCATCCAAGTCTGGGGATATCCCACAACGAGAGTTAGAAAAGGTTTATACACTAATTTGGCTTAAAGGTTTGCAGGGGGTTGGACTTGATGACCCTCAGAGTCCCTTCTATAATAATAATTTATTATTTATACCCCGCCCATCTGGCTGGGTTTCCCCAGCCACTCTGGGCGGCTTCCAACAGAACACTAAAATACAATAACCTATTAAACATTAAAAGCTTCCCTAAACTGGGCTGCCTTTAGATGTCTTCTAAAAGTTTGGTAGTTATTTTTCTCTTTGACATCTGGTGGGAGGGTGTTCCACAGGGCGGGTGCCACCACCGAGAAGGCCCTCTGCCTGGTTCCCTGTAGCTTGGCTTCTCGCAGCGAGGGAACCACCAGAAGGCCCTTGGCGCTGGACCTCAGTGTCCGGGCAGAATGATGCAGGTGGAGACGCTCCTTCTGTGATTCTATGCTCTGTGATTCTAGTCAGACTGACCTTTAACCTTTAGTAAGGTTAAAGCTTACTGTGAATTGATATATAATGAATTGGAAAAAAAAGTTTAAAATAACATTTGTAAAAAAAACAAACCCAGAAGCTTTCCTTTGGGGAATTATAGGGACAGAACTACTCAAAGGGTATAGAAATTTATTTATGTATGCAACTGCAGCGGCAAGAATGTTATTTGCCCAAAAATGAAAAGAAGAAGAAGTCCTGATGAAAGAAGAATGGATACAAAAACTAATGGAATACGCAGAAATGGCAAAACATACCAGAAAAAAAAGAAATCAAGGTAACAAACTTTTAATAAAAGAATGGAAATGGTTTATTGAATATCTACAAAACTGTAAACAGAGAAGAACATTGGTGAGATTATTGTAATAACCTGCAGTTTTATAAGAGTATACATTTAAAGTTGATGAACAAATGATTAAGTTAATTTGGAATATGCAGAACATATTAAAAAATAAATTTAAGGAACTGGAGAAAGAGGGGGAAGGAAGTCAAGTTTCGAAATGTTAAAATGATAGTAAAATTATTGAAATGTATAAAATTGAAAATCATAAATTAAAATTTTAAAACAATTCTAGTCAGACTGAAGCTGGTTTGGAAAAAAAACAAAACCCCACACCAAACAGCAGTGTTTGTCAAGAAACTACAGGATCAGTATGAATTGTGCCTACTATTGTGTGCATGCAGCTTTGAAAACTAGCAGTGCGAGCACAATGGATGGTAGTCTGAACACACCTGACACAGGGGGGCCACTTTATACTGAGAGACCCCTCCCTACTCACAGCAGTAAGCTTTGTCCATAACTCCCCAGTCAGGCCTCTGCCTGTACAGTCGTACCTTGGAAGTCAAACTGAAGTCCTTTCAACTTCCAAAAACATTTGGAAACCAAGGTGAGGCTTCCGATTGGCTGCAGGAAGCTCCTGCAGCCAGTCGGAAGCTGCAGAACCCGCACCGGACATTCGGGTTCCAAAGAACATTGGCAAACCAAGTCGAAAGGCGTTCAACTTCCGAGGTACGGCTGTAGTCACACTGGCATCGTTTGCATCAGCCCCGCCTGTCCCCTTCTGCAGAGAATGGAGGCTCTATGCTCACCCACTGCTTGATAGTAAGCCTGGAAGCCCTTGTAGAAGACGTTGGTGCCATTTTCTTCATTGGAGAAGTCGGAGTGGAACAGCAGCCGCATTCGGTTCCCAGCCGACAAAATCTCTTTGCCTCTAGGGTGGTTGCCGGTGGTTGAGTCTTGTTGGCCGCAGAACCGGCCTAAGTCTTTCTTGTTGGCTGTGATCTGCCAGAACCCAGTAAGGGGAGGAGAAAGTATTAGAAGCAGTGGTCTTAATTGACCAAGATCCAAAGAACCTCATCCCTAGGTCTGCATGCACCCAAGCCCAGTGGGTTTCCCGGCTTCCATTTCTTAAGCTGTGGTGTCTCTTTGAGGAGGACGCCATGTTGTGGTGAATTGTTTTTGAAACTGGGGGGTGGGTTAAAAAAACAGTGCTGCTGTTGTATGTTGGCCAGCTGTTTGAAAAAGAGGGAAAGGCCCTTGGAAGGTAAGTTGTTGACATCCATCTGTCTCGAGAGACAATGGAGTGCACCTCCATGGGTGAAGTCAAGCAGTTGCTTGAGCAACACCAAAGTGACCTCCTCTGGGTGCAAGTCTGGGCAGTGTCGATGGAGGTCCTGGGCTGCCCAGACAACAAGACCCCCCTCTTGGTCTCGCTGATGTGGTCCAAAGGAAAGCAGAGCAATACGTTTGGCACCAGTTTGGCTACAGGAGTTGCTGGAAGGAGGCTTACAAGGCGCCATCCACTTTGGATTTGTGCAGGGCTTTGTCAGGAGTCCAGGTTCCCAGCTTGATAACACAGTAAGCATAGGTAAAGGGGGATTTACTGCAAAACAAACAGATAGCTCTGGCAGCTCTGACAAAGCCTCTAGCATCATTACTCAAGAAGACCCTTCTGAAGACTTCTTCTGGCTGCGACAGAAGAAATTGAACTTCTGACTCTTAAGTCTTTTGTTTTGCTTCCTATCTAACAGCCCTCCCATTCACAGACTCTTAGGGCTGAGTGGATCAGCTCCAACCTCTTCCTGGGAGCTTTGGCTGTGTTCCCGCCTGCTCTCAGCTACTGTCTTAACAGCCGGTTCGTCAAGCTCAGGAAGAGCCGAAGTCTGCAGCTGCTGGCTCTCTCCTGTCTGACTAACATCTAAGCCTCTCTGTTCCTGGCTGCTTTCTGCAGTTGGCTGCAAATCTTCTCTGGGAGCTGGCTCATTCCTGACAGGTTTACTCCTTAGCCTTTTCTTCTCCTGAAGATGTCCTGCTAGGCATCAGGGGTTTAGGATCAGAGCTTTCTTTCTCCTAGATGAGCCATCTTCCCAGGTGGATGAGCTCCATCTGCCCCTCACTTCCTTCCTCAGTACATGCAGAAACCGCCTTCTTGAGCAATGGACCCACTATTGGTCTCATCTGTTCAATCCACCAGAACCTGTCTTGCATGCAGGGGAAGTCCCTAACTCATCACCTACCCTAAGGTTACCAGATTTTTTTTCAATGAATCCGGGGACACTTTTCAACTTCAGTAGGAATGATAGGATTTTGTATGGGGACTGATTTGTAAATCCAGGGACTGTCCCCAGGAAACAGGGACATCTGGTAACCTTAAGCTACCCTCACCTGGTTTAGCCAGCCAGTGGAAGCCATTGCTGGGGTGTGGCTGCTGTCACATGCTGACAGCTTCTAGGAGGTGAGAGCTGAGTGCAGGGTGGGGACCAAAGGTGGACAAACTGCCCCAGAAGGAGTGCATTATGTCCCCCAGCAGAGGTACTAGAGGTAAAGGTAAAGGGACCCCTGACCATTAGGTCCAGTCGCAAATGACTCTGAGATTGCGGCACTTATCTCGCTTTATTGGCCGAAGGGAGCCGATGTACAGCTTCCGGGTCATGTGGCCAGCATGACTAAAGCTGCTTCTGGTGAACCAGAGCAGCGCACGGAAACGCCGTTTACCTTCCCGCCGGAGTGGTACCTATTTATCTACTTGCACTTTGACGTGCTTTCGAACTGCTAGGTTGGCAGGAGCAGGGACTGAGCAATGGGAGCTCACCCCATCACAGGGATTCGAACCGCCGACCTTCTGATCGGCAATCCCTAGGCTCTGTGGTTTAGACCACAGCGCCACCCATGTGGTGAGGAACTACCCCACCCCTAATACCCCATACACCCTGGGGAGAGAGGGAAACATAATAACAGAGCAGAGACTTGTGGGGCCAAGCTATGCAAAATGGAGATTCAGCCACTTGGAACTGCAGCAATTCCTCTACCACCCCCTCTGCATCCCAGGCTCTGTCCACACACACACCTTGACGTAGTCGTAAGTGCAGTCCTCAGATGGCTCCAGATCGAACTGCCAGAAATTCAGCTTCACTCTGAAGCCCTTTGGCACAGAAATGTCCCAGGTACTTTCATTGTTGTTTGGGTACGGCTTGGGGTAATTGGGGGACCTGACCTCCCCAAAGAGCTTCCTTGTGGTTGGCGTGGAACTGACAGCTCCGAAGACGAAAGCTCCTTGCAGAAGGAGGAGTTGGAGGAGTCGGGGGAGCCTGTAAACGCAACACACACATTTGAGAATGAAGACCAAAAGGAAAAGGAACTTGGTGCTAAAGACCCTCACATTCAGCACTATGAAAAATCTGCTTATGTTGAAATGTTTTTGCATCTGTTTCTGATAGTCACTGGATGGGCAAAGGAGCTAGATTGTGATCTTAAGTCATATTAAATATCTGGCTTAGCAACTATTTGTGATTTAGATGTTACACCAGGGATTCCCTGTGTAATTTTAATCTTATATGTGTAGCCTTAAGGGCTAAAAATTTGCTTTTAAAAAAAGGAAAAAAATAGAAGCTTTTATTTAGCAGACTGGTGAATTCTGCACTCAGTTCTGCACTTGTGCAGTAGCAATGATTGCATAGTCACACTATAAAACAACTCATTATGTGGGCTAGAAATTGAATTGGGTCTTGAATCTTTGGGCACAATTATGGATGTGCTGGGAACTGCACTAAAAAGGGTCCTAATTTTTTTTTCTAGAAAAGGCGTAAATCAGCACCCATTAAATGTGAGGTGGCTAGTCTTTGGCCATGCAGATGTTGTTGGTTTCCAGGTCCCATCAACCCCGGCCATTAGCCACGCCGACTGGAGCGTTAAAGACCTGGATCCCTCAGAACTGGCATGACAGGAAGCGAGCATCATGAATTCGGTGGTCCTTGATGGCTATGCACATCTGTTCAGAGATCCTGGAACCAGTGAGGAAGAGTTGCAGACAGCACTGAGGCCTAGCGAGAAGCCACAATCCTCTTCTGCAGTTCTTAGTTTTGCTTCCACTACTCTCAAGGCAGCAGCTTTTGGTTTTGCTATTTCTCTGAGTATGTTCTGTGCACAGCTCCTTAGACCTGAAGGCCACAAACTTTCTGGAGAAGGGGCTGGGAGGGAAATCATCAGCCATTCGCAAGAACTAAAGGCTTTGGGTCTATATACAACCCCTGCTTTGACTAGTGTGGTTGTGGCTACAAAGCGTCTTGGAAGAAACACCCTGTTGAGATAAGAGAAGCATCTAAATGGTAGTGCCAGCCTCTTCAGGGGGCTACTAGAGCAGACTGAGAACATGCCAGGTTAGAGACATCTTTAGACTATAAGTTGCACTCCTTTAAAGCCGCTCTGGGGGTTTCCAGTTGAGGTTAATACTGCAAATGGGCCATGCAGATACAGTGGTACCTCTGGTTACAGACGCTTCAGGTTACAGACTCCGCTAACCCAGAAATAGTACCTTGGGTTAAGAACTTTGCTTCAGGATGAGAACAGAAATCGTGCAGTGGGGGCGTAGCGGTAGTGGGAGGCCCCATTAGCCAAAGTGGTGCTTCAGGTTAAGAACAGTTTCAGGTTAAGAACGGACCTCCAGAACGAATTAAGCTCTTAACCCGAGGTACCACTGTATTGCAAAGGGGGTGTTGGCAATACCTTGTTGTTGTTGTTTCAAACCTTATTGAAATTTCCCCAGAAGAGTAAATGGGGACTAAATGGGGACAAAATATAGGCTGGCATTTTGATGCCAATGAAGTCGGGTGCATGCTGCGAAAAAATCTGCGTGCGCAAAGAGCACCCATCCCACAACAAACACCCATCTGGCAGCCGCCCCAGACACCATGCTTTGCCCAGCGTCATTTGATAATGGAGACACTGTAATATAGTCTTTGGATATTAGATTTGGCCCCAGGCTTTGCCAGAGTAAAGCGAATCCTTTTGCTACCGTTACCAGTGGTGTAGCGTGGGGGGTGCAGGGGGGGCTGGCCGCACCGGGCGCAACATCTGGGGTTAGGGCAAATCCACAGGTTAGGGGGCGCAAATCCACGGGTTAGGGGGCGCAAATCCATGGGTTAGGGGGCGCAAATTACTTGCCTTGCCCCGGGTGCTGACAACCCATGCTACGCCACTGACCGTTACGCATGCCACCCTCTCCCTTCACCGCACAGTCAACACTCACATGCTTGCAGACTTGAGTTAACGCTCTTCCTCCCTCCCGTTCTGGTGGTCTGTGCTTGGGAGCGGCAAACAGATTTCAACAAACACTTAACCCTGTTAAGCGGAGATTCGGGGAAGTTGGGGCAGACCTTGCTGAGAGGGAGGGAAGGGGGAGATAACTGGTTTCCAAATCAGTTGGGCAAGAGAGGTATTTTCCTTTCTGCTGTGTTCTGCTGCCCTCTGCTGTCCCCACAGAGATGGAGTGATGGACAGAAGCTTTCACAATCAGATTCCAGAGGAGTAAAACTGTTGCACAAACAGTTCAGTTGTGCCTTAACTGCAAAGGTTGTGAGCCTTGCAAAGCTCCAACCCACATCAGATGTGGGAGCGGACAGCCTCAAGCAACACTTAAAAGAAAACATCTCCAGTGCCTTCACCTCCAAAGAAAATCAAAGCATGGGGAGTGCTCCCCTGAAATGTCTCGCTGCTTGGGGAAATGGGGAGCTTGGAAGAACAGAAATACTGTACAAGTAACCTCCCTGGGACATGTCAACATGGAGTTTGCCAGTCTTTAGCTAAAAAAGGTAAAGGACCCCTGGACAGTTAAGTCCAGTCAAAGGCGACTATGGGGTTGCAGCTCTCATCTCACTTTCAGGCAGAAGGAGCCGGCGTTTGTCTGCAGACAGCTTCCCGGGTCATGTGGCCAACCTGACTAAACCGCTTCTGGCACAACAGAACACCATGATGGAAACCAGAGCGCCATTTACCTTCCCGCCAGAGTGGTACCTATTTATCTACTTGCACTTTGACGTGCTTTATAACTGCTAGGGACGCGGGTGGCGCTGTGGGTAAAAGCCTCAGCGCCTAGGGCTTGCCGATCGAAAGGTCGGCAGTTCGAATCCCTGCAGCGGGGTGCGCTTCCGTTGTTCGGTCCCAGCGCCTGCCAACCTAGCAGTTCGAAAGCACCCCCGGGTGCAAGTAGATAAATAGGGACCGCTTACTAGCGGGAAGGTAAACAGCGTTTCCGTGTGTGGCTCTGGCTCGCCAGAGCAGCGATGTCACGCTGGCCACGTGACCCGGAAGTGTCTCTGGACAGCGCTGGCTCCCGGCCTATAGAGTGAGATGAGCGCACAACCCTAGAGTCTGTCAAGACTGGCCCGTACGGGCAGGGGTACCTTTACCTTTACCTTATAACTGCTAGGTTGGTGGGAACAGGGACCGAGCAACGGACGCTCACCCCGTCGCGGGGATTCGAACCACCAACCTTCTGATCAGCAAGCCCAAGAGCCTCAGTGGTTTAGACTGCAGTGCCACCCACATCCCCGGTCCTTAACCCACTGCTCACATATGAGATGTATGAAAGCTGTCTTATACTGAGATAGGCTGCTGGCTCATCCAAACAAGAGTGAGAGCAGATCACCATAGATTTAAAGCACACCAGACATACATCAAAAGCACATGACATACATCAAAAGCACAAGCCCCCAAAGAATCCTGGGAACTGTAGTTTTTAAAGGGTACTATGTATTGTAGGGGAAAACCATAGTTCCCTGTATTCTCTGGGGGGTCATCATGAGTAAACTTTCTTATACTGAGCCAGTGACCATGTGGTTCAGTGCAGTCTACACTGATTGGCAGTGTAGGATTTCAGACAGTGGATAGTCCCTACCCTACCCAGAGGTGCCAGCAATTGATCTGGGGTATTCTGCATGCAAGGGGACGCGGGTGGCACTGTGGGTAAAAGCCTCAGCGCCTAGGGCTTGCCGATCGAAAGGTCGGCGGTTCGAATCCCCGCGGCGGGGTGCACTCCCGTTGTTCGGTCCCAGCGCCTGCCAACCTAGCAGTTCGAAAGCACTCCTGGGTGCAAGTAGATAAATAGGGACCGCTTACTAGCGGGAAGGTAAACGGCGTTTCCGTGTGTGCTCTGGCTCGCCAGATGCAGCTTTGTCACGCTGGCCACGTGACCCGGAAGTGTCTCCGGACAGCGCTGGCCCCCAGCCTCTTGAGTGAGATGGGCGCACAACCCTAGAGTCTGTCAAGACTGGCCCGTACGGGCAGGGGTACCTTTACCTTTACCTATTCTGCATGCGAAGCAGATGCTCAGGGTGCGTAAACATGACACTTTAAATTATAAAATGGGTACTTTTGCATAATTTATTTTATTTTGCAAAGTTTACTGTTTTGCTAGTCAAGGGGAGGAAGGAAAGGAGTTACAGAAGGCACAAAACCCCCACCCACCCATCACAAATCACCTTCCTCTGACTTCTGAGGGTTCACCAAGAATTGCCACACACTTTCCAGGAGACCTCCACAGACATTAAATCTAGCAACTTCCTTATTAATGGTTCCTCCAGTTCCTCTTTATTGCATATCCATCCTGATTTCTTTGCACAAAGATTACATGTGGATTACATGGTCTCTGGTCTTTATTCAGCATGCAATCAGATTTGTTGTGGGAAAATATATGACAATGGGGACATGGGTGGCGCTGTGGGTTAAACCACAGAGCCTAGGACTTGCCAATCAGAAGGTCGGCGGTTCGAATCCCTGCGACGGGGTGAGCTCCCGTTGCTCGGTCCCTGCTCCTGCCAACCTAGCAGTTCGAAAACACATCAAAGTGCAAGTAGATAAATAGGTATCGCTCCGGTGGGAAGGTAAACGGTGTTTCCGTGCGCTGCTCTGGTTCGCCAGAAGCGGCTTAGTCTTGCTGGCCACATGACCCGGAAGCTGTACGCTGGCTCCCTCGGCCAATAAAGCGAGATGAGCGCCACAACCCCAGAGTCGGCCACGACTGGACCTAATGGTCAGGGGTCCCCTTTACCTTTACCTTTATATGACAATGAGCATCCAGCTTGATTTTCTTGCCAGGTGTATATACATCTTCCTGTTTATCATTTGCTCATCACATGCACGCGCATTTCACTGTTACTTTCCTAACTGCAAAAAGGACACATGGTCAACAGACCCTGGACACCTTCCACCAGAAATTCAATGAATTTCACCCCACAATCAACCTAACAATGAATCAATCTATGCAAGAAATACATTTTTTGGACACTACTATAAAAATACAGGATGGGCGCATAGACACCACCTTATACCGTAAACCAACTGACCGACAAACATATCTACATGCCTCTAGCTACCATCCCAAACATACCAAACAGTCCATTGTATATAGCCAGGCACTACCTTACAGCCGTATCTGTTCCAATTCTACAGACAGAGACTCTCACCTAAGAGATCTACAGCAAACCTTTTTAGAACTAAAATACCCAGCAGATGAAGTTAGACAACAGATCAACAGAGCCAGACTGATACCCAGAGAGAACTTGCTGCAAGACAGACCCAAAAAAGAAAATAACAGAACACCTCTAGTCATCACATACAGCTCCCAAGTTAAAACAGTACAACGCATCATCAGAGATCTACAACCTCTCCTGGACAATGACAGTTCTCTTTCTCAAGCTCTGGGAGGAAGACCTTTCATTGCCTACAGACAGCCACCCAATCTTAAACAACTCCTAACCCACAATAATACTACAACCAGACTTAACACGGACACTGGCACCAGAGCCTGCAATAAACCCAGATGCCAACTTTGCTGCCACATACACCCGGACAACACCATTACTGGCCCCAACAACATCACACATACCATCTCGGGACTATTTAATTGCTCATCGTCTAACATTGTGTATGCCATCAAATGCCAACAGTGTCCTTCAGCTCTCTATATTGGACAAACAGGCCAAACCTTACGCCAAAGAATAAACGGACATAAATCTGACATCAAGAATCACAAGACAGAGAAACCAGTAGGCGAACACTTCAATCTCCCAGTACATTCTATACAAGATCTCAAAGTAGCTGTTTTACTACAAAGGAATTTCAGAAATAGACTGGAAAGAGAAGCTGCTGAATTGCAACTCATTACCAAACTTAAAACCATGGAGAGACCTGGTCTGAACAAAGGCATTGGATTCTTATCTCATTATACATGACAAAGCCATTTTTCACCTTCTCACCCCTTGCTTTTTCCTGTAAGACCTATTGCAGTCGTTAAGAGTCGTCAACAGGCTCATCACAGCTATCTGCCAATCACCCATTCCCACCACCCTTCTGAGTAATACCCCTCCCCACCTTCTCACTATATAGAAGGATCTGGCAACTTCTGTTTCAGTGTATCTGAAGAAGTGTGCATGCACACGAAAGCTCATACCAAGAACTAACTTAGTTGGTCTTTAAGGTGCTACTGGAAGGAATTTTTTTTGTTTTGCAAAAAGTCAGTGGTCCTTTTTTTAAAGAGTAGAATTGTTGCTTCGATCCACTTTAACTGTGCAACTCTATCTTTCCAGTATGTGCTTGAATCTCTTCCATGAAATAATGACAATCTGGAGGCACCCCCCAGGATTTTGTACTGTTCCTGTTGCTAGAGGGGACTGGGGTGGGGAGGAACTAATCCTGCCTTACTAAACCCATAATTAATAAGACCGCCTCCAGATTGTCACTCTTTTGCAGGGGGGATTCCAGCTCCTACCAGAAATTAAAGTGGATTAAAGCACTCTGTCGCCCTAGCACAACAAATCCACTTTAAAAAAGAATCAGACTTAGGTCCCCTTCTGACGACCTGCAAAAAGTCTGTAGATATTTTTAAGGGGATTTGTTGTGCTAGGGTGACAGAGCACTTTAATCCACTTTAATTGCACGGACCTAAAGTTCTGGTATGTGCTTGCATCTCTCCCACAATATAGAGACAAGTTGGAAGCATCCTAAAAATCAAAATAGGGACACGGGTGGCGCTGTGGGTAAAACCTCAGCGCCTAGGGCTTGCCGATCGAAAGGTCGGCGGTTCGAATCCCCGCGGCGGGGTGCGCTCCCGCTGCTCGGTCCCAGCGCCTGCCAACCTAGCAGTTCGAAAGCACCCCCAGGTGCAAGTAGATAAATAGGGACCGCTTACTAGCGGGAAGGTAAACAGCGTTTCCGTGTGTGGCTCTGGCTTGCCAGAGCAGCTTCGTCACGCTGGCCACGTGACCCGGAAGTGTCTCCGGACAGCGCTGGCCCCTGGCCTCTTGAGTGAGATGGGCGCACAACCCTAGAGTCTGTCAAGACTGGCCCGTACGGGCAGGGGTACCTTTACCTTTACCTTAAAAATCAAAATGGAGATTCTCCAAAAGCTGAAT